GCGCGATTACGCAAAAAGTACTGAAAATATTTTTATGAAACTTGATATATGGATAGATGGCAGTATGGAGATTATGCACGTCCTTTTTCTTTTCTTCCTATGTTGAAAATTCTGGTTGCTATGGCAACAAATAGACTGAAAATATGGCAAATTTTACACATAACCTGGATCCAGTGATAACACAAAAAGTACTGAAAATAAGTTTATGAAACTTGACATATGGGTAGATGGCTGTATGGAAATTATGCACATCCTTTTCTTATCTTCCTATGTTGAAAATTCTGGTTGCTATGGCAACAAATAGACTGAATTTCAAGATTTCTGATTCTAGTTTTTAAGTTTTTCACTATAAGTTCTTTATTTCTTAAGGTATTTTCTTCAAACTTTAAATATAAGTTGCTTGTCATCAACCACATCATATGTGACAAGGTTTACAACTCTAGCACAAAATATATCAGAATTACCTCCCTTGAACTTAAAATTTTCATGAAAAAAAAAACATTGTTTTTTTTTAATAACTTCTTTTTCTGAATGTATCTACTTCAAACTTCATATAAATGCAGGGTTCCCACGCTACCGGGAAAACGGGAAAAGTCTGTGATTCTCAAAATCGCGGCTCCCGGTCGTGAAAACGCCGGGAATTTGCTCCGTCCGGTAAAAGCCCGGGAATAGTCCGGGATTTAGTCCGTACCGCTAAGGGAAGTAATCGATATTGAACAATATGGCTGCCGCCGAAGCAACGTCCATTTCCTGGTTTGAATTATTGATGTTTTCTTCCACCGAGGATGGTTTTAACAAGCTATCTTGGTATTTTGAACATTTTACAAATCAAATTCAGCTTTGTATACGGCAAACGCCGTAATGGCTTTGAAACCTCGCTAGAAAGTAACAATGAAAACGAACGAAAAAATGATAAGCACGTCCGTGTTTCCTTTTACTGCACAGTCGTCCAGTTGATTCAGCAAATATGTCGTCTGCGCTAGTGCGCCAGTTGCGAGACAGAGGAATAGGAAAGAAAATCAACAAAACTAATTACACCTTATACATTTGGATCTGACTGGCATCAAAAAATGACATTTTTTGTAACATATACATTGTATGAGCCATCCTATGAGAAAGGAAGTGGCTAGCCGTACGGGCCCGTACGGCTAGCCAAACGTTCTAGCCGTACGTGAGTCACGTACGACTAGCTTGGACACACTGTATTGGCTAGCCGTACGGCACTTTTCAAAATTATATAGAAGTCGAAAATGCATATGTTATTTTGGGTCCTTAAACAACGATTTTAATCAAATCTCCGCATTTGTCCTGGTGTGTTCACTTTAATGAAGATGCTCCGCAATTTTGCAAAAAAAAAAAAATAATGAATACGAGTAAGCGTTGTATAATCTATCTTAATAAGATTAAGTGTCAAAGTTGCATGTTATAACGTCCTTAATTTTCACGCTTAAATGATTTGTATGAAAGATGAATTGTTAAAACGTTAATTAAATTAAGCACATGGATCGAATAAATAATTATTAATGATCGGAGGGGAATAAATAAATAAATAAAAAGAAAGTAAAAAACGGTGATAAGGAAAAATAATTTAATAACGCAAACTTTCCTTAATGATGGACGATGGACAAACTTCTATACCGTCGGTAATTGACGCAATTATCAGAGCCCAACAACAATTATTTTCGGTGTTTTTGTTTGTTTGTTTGTTGTTTGTTTTTTTTCAATTTAAAAATTACACTTAATGAAACCAAAAAGGATTATTATCAAACTTTTGCAAACTGTTTCAATTAATGTTATTTAACTGCAACCAAGCGCTATTTTTTCGATGACAAAGTACATTTTTTACTGAAGCCAACACGTCGATTAATCTCTAAAAAGTAAACATTCTTGACTAAAATCCTCGCTTAAAGTCATAATTAACATATGCACTTTCGCCTTCCATATTTTTTTGAAAAGTGCCGTACGGCTAGCCAATACAGTGTGTCCTGGCTAGTCGTACGTGACTCACGTACGGCTAGAACTTTTGGCTAGCCGTACGGGCCCGTACGGCTAGCCACTTCCAATGAGAAAACCAGCAAGGTGTGTTTGTGACAAGCATGGATCCAGATGAGTCCTTCACATCTGCACAGTCTCATAAGGATCCATACTGTCTGCCTAAAGCTTGTGTAACATTTTTAACATCTGAAAGTAAACTTTATGGATCCTGATGTGACTGCATGGATAGCCAAGCTTGTCTGGATCCATGTTAGTCCCATGCTATTGCTAGTCACACAAGCACATTGTTGGTTTTCTTGTGGTGCTGCTAAAAATATGTAATTACTTTGCTGAAAATTTAATATAATTGCCACGTTTCTCATTTACAATTAAAGTTTTGTTATGACTGACCCATGTTTCAATATTAGGGATGGGTACCACCAATTTTTTTGTACCGCGGTATATCGCGGTATTTCACCTGTGTACCGCGGTATGTACCACGGTATTATGAAGACACTTTTTAATGTTTAACTTATGCAAACTAAGACCAACTGCCATAAGAATGTTTAAACATTTTGATAAAACACAATACATTTTAGAAAAACAGATTAATATCTTTATTTCTTTCAACTAACATCTGTCTACCTGACTGGAAAATAATAAATAAAAGAAAGAAGAAAATAACCTTATTGTCTTGATAATATTTTCAACAAAATCTAAAACAGAAAAATGGCAATGTGAGCTGATAAATTGGACGTCCCACCTCCTGAACATTTATGACCATATCACACTTCATACATACGGCTGTATTATCAATTAATTTCTGTGTTATTTTAGACTTTTGGAGCCCAAAATGCCTCCAAATATCCGATTTCCCCTTTGGATTTTTGACCGTGGTGAATTCGTCCATGACAGTATGAGCTGTTTACAAGTTGGGCTATGTCTAAATGCTTTACGTTTTGTTATTGTTGCCACTCGTCAATACGTCAACATGTTTACTAGCCTTAGACTGAGCACTAACATGGGTGTCCCCTTTTAATGCATTTAAATGAAGAATGATATATAGAAATTATAAAAATGTCGGCGGATGAAATGTATTTACACTACATAATAAATATGAAAAACAACCGGGAAACGATCCGACCTTTCCGCGACTAATTATTCGTTAGAGTATTATACTGTGCATTTACTGCTGCTCTAAAAATAGACTTGGAATTCCACTTTAATTTAGGTTGAAAGTTGAAACACAGATTACAGGGTAAATAACGTCCGAATCTTACAAAAATATTATGTAAAATTATATATATTAAAAAACCGGTATTCCTAGGGGTCGTACCGGTACGTACCGCGTCTGAACGAAACCGCGGTATACCGGTAATACCGCACATCCCTATTCAATATTGTAAATATATACTGTTTTGCTTTTCATTTTTTTTCTACATCATACTGCTTTAAAATCGTTTTCGATCACCCTAACTAAGCAGGTATAAATTGTATACATTTAAGAAACAGCTTTAAGATACAAGGGAATCCGGGAACCAGTCCCTAGCTCTTATTGAATAGACCCGTTGGTTCTTTTACATGCCCAGTGTATAGCACTGATACATGCGAGGATTACCTGGATTTCTTACCAGTACACCTCTAGGTAGGTGGGAAACACTGAAAGTGTCTCTGAAAAATCCCAGGGGTGTAACCCAGGATCGAACCCGGGACCTCAGGAGTGATAGTCAGTGGTCATTTCATTAAAATGACAAAACTCTTACAGTACAGACCAATTAAGATTTGTCATTAGTGCAAGTAAAATGAACAATATTTTTATATACCCGTTTAAAAAACGGGACATATTATGTTTTCACCCTTTACGGGCTGGTTGGAAGTCTGGAAAAAACCTGGAATTCTCAAATTGAAAAACCTGGAATTTAAAAAAAATCCTTGAAAAAACCTGGAATTTCACTCCTAAATAATAGTGGGAACCCTGTAAATGTTTCTTATTATCACTCAACATTTGTGAGTGTTCAATACTCTAGCAAGACTATTTCCAGAATTATGCCCCTTTTGAACTTAGACTTTTTTTTTTTTGAGAAATTGGTAATTTTTACTCCAACTTCTTCAATCATGATAGGATTTTAAAAATGTTATATTTTGATAACAGGGATGTTTAAAAAATAACTTTAGAGTGTCCTTCAGTCCGTCTGTCTGTACATAAAAACTGTTTCCTGTGATCACTTTTAAAGAACTTTTTCAACAAATTTACTTAAAATAGGAACATAAGTGAATGGCCAATGGCCCTTCAGAATGTTGCTTGGGCTCTTACCGGTAGGGGACTTATGGATTGCTTGCAATACTATGATAATTGCTTGTTTTTTTTCCTGTAATCAGGAGATACCCTGAGAGCTACAAAAACAACAAAAAACAAAAACAATTAGTTGAAAATCACAGCCTCGGATTTATAAAGTCCTTGAGGGATAATGTTAACTGCAAAATCTCTCATGCCCTCTAGCACATGCCCAAGTGTTATGCATTCCTGAACACTAAAAGTTTTGATGCCAAAGATCCTGAAGGGACATTAGTTATTACACTATGATAAAATTAGGACAGCTTTCACACAACACCTCTGTTGAGAGTATTAAAATTTGGGAATGAGAAATTAAGATTTTTCACAGTCAGTTTGGATTTAAATTCAAAATACATGAAAATATTTAGGAAGAAAAAAATGCTTTGCAATTTGAACTTTCACAATTTTAATAAAGCATCTTACTTCAACTTTGAATTACACAGTGTTTTTTCTCTACCGGGCATATGACGTCATTACATGGTGTTCTTCACATTGAAACAGGTTCAGTTGGTATCAGCCCGAGGAAAAGTTTAAAAACACCAGTGAGAAAATGTTTCCAGACAGGTTTCGAAGATTGGTTTCTTATTACTACTGAACGCAGTCTGGGCGATATAAAGTCTGTCACTCTGTGGCATGATAACTCGGGATTAAGTCCACATTGGTAAAATTTTATGTTTATAATTAATGAATTTTCCCCTCACCACATAATCCTGAAGCCGTGATATTCTGGAATCACTTAGTCGAATCGGGTTAGTTTGTCAGCCTGTCTCCATTGTGTCTGCGATATAAATACTATATCCCTTGAAGGATTTTGTTTAAACTTTGCTAAAATGTTCTCAAAAAAGCAATGAGCATAAGATGCCACTGTGCAAGGTCATTATCACCATAAAAGGTCTCCTGCCCATAAACATTGTCAACATATATATGAGGTCAAATTTCGAATGTTTTTGTTTGTGCTTACTTCTTTACTTTTCAAATATATATATATATTTTTTTTAATCTAAAATGTTTTCTTTCAAAAATAATGATGAATTGTCCTACATTATATTCTGTGTCATAAAGATCAGATGGGAGTATTCGTCACTTCTGTGGCACCTCTTGTTTATTATAATTTAATGAATTTATGTATCATGATTTAAAAATCAAATTGCAACTCTTTAAAGGAAAAAAAGCAAAAATAATACACTACAAAATTTTTATACAGACTTGCTCATGTGCATTAACATAAATAATGAAGAAAATATATGTTGAATAGAAAAAGTTAGTGTTTACTATTTATCCCAGGCAAAAAACTTTACATTTTCAACTTTCTTGTTTGATAATTTTACTCTACAAGGTTTGTGAATCAAATTTTCGTGAAGGATGTTCATACTGACAGTTCTTGGACATTTGTATACAATGACTGGCTGGCTGTAGACCGAGGTAATTTATTGCTGACAACAACAACATTACTGCCTGTGACTGAGGTATGTTGATTTGACCAGTGACATATGTTAATTTTGCAAAAAGTCATTGATAGTTTATACTGTATAAGTGGTTAAGTCAGGGACTTGGAAAAATTGAAGAAAATCGCTAAAATTTCCTCTAGCGTAAATAACAACCAACCTGTCGTTAACTTCTACCCTTGCACGATTCATTAATATATCCTCACGCAAAATGTCTGGAATTTTAAATTCTCTAACTTTTCGACACGCGAAAATTTCCACAGTAGCATAGATCGGTAGCCCACATGGTTTCCGCTGATTATCTTGAAAACTGTTTATCACAAAGTCTTCATATTTCACATAGTGATTGGTCATAACTAGTAGATGACCCCTATTGATTTTGGGGTTACTAGATCAAAGGTCAAGGTCACAGGGGCCTTAAATGTCAGAATTGTTTCTGCTCATTTTCTGGTTACAATATATCACAAAGTCTTCTTATTTCACATATTGATTGGTCATATTTAGTAGATGACCCTCATTGACTTTGGGGTCACTAGGTCAAAGGTCAAGGTCACAGGGGCCTGAAATGACAGAATGGTTTCCACTGATTAGCTTGAAAGAATTCACCACAAAGTCTTAATATTTCACATGGTGATTGGTCATAACTAGTAGATGACCCCTATTGATTTTGAGGTCACTGGGTTACAGGTCAAGGTCACCAGGGCCTTAAAGGTCAGAATGGTTTCCGCTCATTATGTTGGTAACAATTCATTACAAAGTCTTCTTATTTCACATGGTGATTGGTCATAACTAGATGAAAAGTATTCATCACAAAGTCTTCATATTTCACATGGTGATGGTCATAACTAGTAAATGACCCCTCTTGATTTTGGGGTCACTAGGTCAAAGGTAAAGGTCACAGGGGCCTTAAATGTCAGAATGGCTTCCGCTCATTGTCTTGGTTACAATTCATAACAAAGTCTTTTTATTTCCCATATTGATTGATCATAAGTAGTAGATGACCCCTATTGCTTTTGGTTGTATGGTTTCCACTTATTATCTTTGTTACTATTTATCACAAAGTCTATATTTCACATATTGATTGGTCATAACAACCAGATGACCCGTATTGTTTTTGGGGTCATAATTTCAAAGGTCATGGTCACAGGGGCCTTAAATGTCAGAATTGTTTCCGCTTATTGAAAACTATTTATCACAAAGTCTTCATTTTTTTTCTTTTTTCCATAATTGAACACTTCCATGTACCCATTTATGGCAAGTTTCTATAACAAAATTACCAATAATGTGAGTCAAAGGCTAGGAAAGGGGGGAGGGGCATATGTGTCGTTCAACATTTCTTGTCAATTTAAAACTCGATATGGATAACTTTTAAATTATATATATCTGTTGTGGTGGTGTTGATATATGTGTTGTTGTGGTGTTGGTAGTTTACCCTCAATATCATGACAGGAAGCCACATTGAATTTATGCAATGGCAGAAGTACAGTGACCATAGAAAGAATTTAATGATAATCCCATCAAACGTGACTTGCACCGTCAGGAAATTAAACCCGGGTCGTCAGATTCATTGTCAATCGCTCCACCTATTGAGCTTAACAGATGGCTAATATATGTCATAGTGAAGAAACTTCTTCAATAAAATGCCGATATCAAGTCTATATACTTTGTTTTTATGTATTATTATTTTTATCTAAATATCGGGTTTAAAATATATGGTAGAATTAAATTTTGACTTGGGTGAAATAACAAAAAGTTATATGTCTGTCCAGTTCTGTCATAATTTAAGTAATCCTATAAGATGATTAATTTTTCAGAACCTAGTTTTTCTATTTTTTAGGAGGAGCTGAAATTAAAGAAAAAGTTTAATTTTATGATTACATCAGCACAGAACCTTAGAGATGGTCATATTTGGATAAGCATTTTCTATAAACAAGCAAGTAATACATTTACAAGAGTACAAAGGCTGACGTGTTGTCTGACACTTCTTTTAACAACCATGTTGACTAATTTAATGTTTTACGGCATACCGACAGACGATCCCGAGGATCAGCTAGTCACAGGTGGATTCAAGCTATCGCTCTCCCAGATTGTTATAGGTTTGTATCATAAAATGCTCAAGACAGTTGCCGCTAATGCTTTCTCACCACAGGGAATAGTTAATAGTTTTCTATACAAAATACTTTATCATTATAAGTGTACTAATTGCCATGAAAAAAATAGTTTCGGTAGTTTACCACTGAGTAACTTTTTGGATGCTATTAAAGTACACCAAAATTAAAAAGCTTTTGAGAAATAAAATAAATGCATTTATGAGGCATAATTGGTCTTTAATTCATTGTAATTCAGATTTAAACAATAGTTTGCTATTTTAAAGTTATTTTGTATTTTTAGCAAATGTTGTTTGTTTTTGTGTTTTTTCAGGAATAGAAAGCAGCCTGATAATGTTTCCCGTGAATCTCCTAATCGTACAACTGTTCACGAAAGTAAAACAGAAACCAGCAACTGGTCGAACCCCTCATCCAATAGAATTTTATTTGGAGGCCTGTCTTGGGAGACGATGGGAGAAAATCATGAACAATATGTTTTTACAATTCAAGACTCTCACAAACACTCGCCATCCCGGGAAGGAACATTTCATACCGAGACAAAGGTAATGATGGTGTTTCTTATTAATTCTTGCATATCAGACAGGATTATCTACTGTTTACACCAGTGCTAGGACCCCCCCCCCCATGTAGGACAAGTTGCATGTTTTAAATGATGTCATTCCCATGCGCTTTTAATGAATGAATTTGTATCGTAATGAATGAAGTTGTAAATTCATACCCTACTAAAGTGCTAAATGAAAATATTAGTTTCGTAATTTCTTTTCTTAATATCATTTATTTGTAATATGAAAGAAAAAGAATCAAACACTGGCTGTCATCACCGACAGGATTATCTAGCTCTAGGGTAACTGTATAGCGGAAACTTTGCCGAACCTCAATAATGACGTAAACAGTTACCTTTGAGCTAGATATTCTGGTCTGTACCGGCAGTCAGTTAAATTTTTATACAATCTTTGGAGTGAATTTCCAACTGGTAAGGGGAAACGGGGCCAGGGTGTTTTTTTAATGGGTCATTATAGTTTGGCAATTTTTTTTATTTAAACAATGCAGATGAGTCAGGTCATACAAACCGCAGGTCATACAAACCGCATATAACGATTGCTGCGATGACTGCTGACTGATCCATCTCTTTGCTTCTGGCTTAGACTTATTATTGCCACTTGCTTTCAATTGCTTACATGTATTTACATTCTATCCATATGCAACCATTACAGACCAACATGTCGTCAGATAATGTGCTGCCTGTTCGCTATTATCAGTCATAACATATTCTGATATTTGAAAGGTGGACAAGACGATTTATGAAATTAAGTAGGGGTGTCAAGGTTAATTGGTTTTTGGCTAAAATCCGAGCAAACCAATCGTGGCAAGGTCAAAGTTTATGTCAAATGATTTTGTAATTTCTGATTAACCTCTTCTTGTATCTCTAATAATATTGTCTGTGAACTCCAGATCCCTAAAGTGTTTAAAAGTGAACATTGCAGATTGGTTTGATTGAATCTGTTCAAGAAAGTGCAACATCTCTCATACACCCTAGCACCAGCTTAAGCCTTATTAAATCTTCAACACAAGTCAATGATCCTGAAGGACCAAAAAATGCAAAACTGGATTATCATTAAATGTAGCACCTTCTTTTCAGACCAGATGAACGAAGAGTTCTGGAAGCTATCAACACTGAAATAGAAACAAGACAAACAGGCAAGATGTATGTACCGGTATTTGCACAATAACATTTGGAACAAAAGAAAAAAAATTATGTACAATTGTATGATATTTTCAGATTTGGTTTTAAATGGTATAGATCATTTAATAACTTTACATTATGCAACCTCTTTTTTTGATATGACATTCTCAAATGAAATAGTGATAGCGTTACATAATCGTTATTGTTCTTTACTTTCAATGATTTTTTGGTTTGTATTTGCGAAGATAAAAAAAAAGAACCAGAAAAACAAGGGTCTTACTTGAGCATTTTTCTTTGAAAGATATTGTTGCATACTGTATACATGCATATGCAAAACATTAATTCGTTTCAATAGAATGAATGAAATATATTGGGATAGTTGCAGCCTTTCAACAAGGAAAGGCGGTATTCAATAAATGCACATTCCACATTAAAACCCGGCAACACAGGTCCGACGATAACGATCCGAAGTGGAAAGCTATACATATATGTTTGGTATTTTTCATTTTTTACACAGATTTCCATGGTGGTTTGTATACGTAGCATGGTCAGTTTCTATAACAACTTGCATTACTTCCTCGTACTTTGTGGCGTTATACGGACTGAAGTATGGCTATGATCGCAGTATAGAGTGGCTCGTTTCCTTCCTTACTGGCTTCTTCCAGAGTATTTTTGTGCAACAACCAGTAAAGGTGATGACATTTTTTCAGATTCCATATCAATTTAATTTAACAGGTTTTGTATGTTACGTAACTGTATTTTTAAGATCGGAAGCTGATGCCAATCTACATAAAGCAGAATACTTTGTATCAATAGTTGACTTACTCTGGAATTAAGAATATATTTTGGTTTTTTATTGCGAATGTGCAGGAACAAACAACATTTACAGACACAGCTTCGAACATAAACGCAACATGTTGACTAATCAGGTGTGAATGGTAGTGCATCTTAAAGCTATATCGGTAAAAGTTTGTTTGCACTGATAGGTTAGCTTGGAAAAACCCACATGTGCCGAATTCCGGATAACATGCATCTTTTTAAATGATATCATCGTCACCTAATTGAACATGCTATTTCTAGACAGAGTTTAAAAAAAATTGATGTAATAGCCTATTAAGGGATGTTAAACATTACCTTTCATTAACAGGTATTTGAATATCACCTTAAGGGTTTTGTATAAAAGCTTAACTGAATCATAATGCTTATTTTATATAACAACCAGTCAAGGTGTCTTTAATATCGCTTTCTTTTCAATACTTTATTGTGCCCCACTAAAGGGAGGGCATTGACATTTACCCTTGTCCGTCAATCTATCCATTTGTTCTCATTTTGTGTCACACGTAGCTCAAAAAGTATTTGACCTAGAGTCATGAAACTTTACAGGAATGTTGCTCAGCATGTGAAGTTGTGCACCTGGGGTTTCGCTTGTGGATTTAATTTGTTTTGTTAGAGTTATTGCCCTTGACTTAGTAAAAATTTGCAATTTTCAAATTGTCTCGCACATAGCTCAAAAAGTATTTGACCTAGTGTCATGAAAATTTACAGGAATGTTGATCGACATGTGTAGTTGTGCACCTGGGTATTTTGGTATGGAATTTTATAGTATTTGTAGAGTTATTGCCCTTGACTTAGTAAAAATTTGCAATTTTCAACTTGTGGCACATGTAGCCAAAAAAAATATTTGACCAAGAGTCATAAGATTGACAAAACAGTGGAGTGTGGGGGCACCTGTGTCCTATGTACACATTTCTAGATATATCAGTTATATTGTGTCATAAATCATGATGAAAAGTTATATATAAAAAACCCATTTAGTAAAAGGTCTGTAACAAATCAAATTTGTTCTCTTCAAAACTATGACAGTTGTCCTCTTTTTTTCTAGCAATAAAAAAAAATCATTTTGTGCTTAAATATTTTTTGGAAATTGAGATTAGAAAAAAGTGCTTTCATTATTTTATGTTATTGGAATTCACTTTTCATAATCTTACTTTAAAGTATACTTGGCTATGTAAGTTTAAAGTCACCGACTTATTACAATAATATGATATAAGAATCATAATGATATACTATAAAGTTAATATGAGCCGCGTCACAACAAAACCAACATAGTGGGTTTGCGACCAGCATGGATCCAGACCAGCCTGCGCATCCGCGCAGTCTGATCAGGATCCATGCTGTTCGCTATCAGTTTCTCTACTTGTTTTTAGGGTTTGAAAGGGGGAAAAAAGCATGGATCCTGTTTCCAGGAACTGCCCCGGGCCCCTGGACGCAAAAGGCTGGAATTGTAAAAACCCAAATTTTTTCTATTTTTTTCCCTTTTTTGATATTTTATCTAGAAATTTTAATAGAAATTATTTGTAGTTTAAGGTTTTTTAAAAATAATCAAGTTTCTTTTTTAAATTTTTTTGGAAATTTTTTTTCCCAAATTTTTTGTGGTCACCACCCAAAAAATTTTGGTCGGGCCTTTTTAAAAAAAATTTAAACCTAAACATTCAAAAAAAGAAAATTTTTGATTTTTTAAAACCCTTTTATCTACATATATCCATATAAAAATACTCGGATGTTAGATCCCCAAAAATTTTTTGTAGGGGGTCTCCTTTTTCTATATAAGCCTTTTTTCTTTTTAAAGGTTTGCTTGGTATAGTTTGATACGGGACTTTAGTTTTCAAGAAAACAGTACCCATTTGGTAAAAGGGTTTTCCCCGGGTGGGAAACGGGGTATGATAAATTTTGATGTCAAGTTAAAAATTTGGATAATGTTATAGTTTTAGTGCCTAATACACCCTTTTTTCCGTATAAATTTTAATTTATTTCCCAAAATTTGGTAAAAAACCGGGGAAGGGCCCAAACCCCTTTTATAGGTACGAGGGTTTTTAAAAAACCTTATTTTTAAATTAATGGAAAATGTCCCCAGGAAAGGATTGAAGTCTTTGGGAATGATTCAATGTTTAATGGGGGAAAAATTGCTGCGCAAAATCTTTTTGTGCTAAGATTTAGTTATTGAAAAGTTGACTTAGTTGTGAAGGCTTCAAAAGTTCAAACTTAAAAAAAAATGACGTATACTTAGTTCTATATATATATTAAGCAAAATCATTCAAACGAATCGCCATGTCCTTGAACTAAAATTGTTACTTATGCATGTAGATGCTGACGAGGAATATGTACAATCTGTTTATATTAAACCACCAGAAGCACACCAGATTATTATGGAGCCTCTTCCAAAAAGGCTGCTGGACAATATAAAAGAGAGATTAAGGGTATGTTTTGTTTTTTTTGTTTTTTTTTGTTTTTTTTTTTATAAGTGAAGGTTTTACCTTTGTTTTTTAGATCATGCTTACAAAACTTTTAATATAATAAGTTTTTTATTTACATAATGTCTTGGTGACTGAATATGATTTTAGTACATGTATTTTAATCTTCAAACTGTCCATAATTTGTTCAAGAAAAAAAAAAGAAAATACTAAAGTTGAATATTTTTTGGCAGGTGGAATGGCTGATGAATACTACTATACGAGACGTTATATTTCACATGTTTTATGTATCAGTAGTTATAACTATGGTCCATGGACATCGTAATATTTATAGTTCTTTTCTGTGCACCGAAGCAGTCCGGTCACTGTTTGTGAAACCTTCTATTGGAATGAAAATGGGAAAGGTATTAATTTTCATGTATATTTGCTAGAAAACGTATAGGGTATGTGCCTTTATTATATACTTATAAATGAAATTTTGAAAAATATTGATGAAATAAAATAAGTATTTTCAATTTCAACATTTTCACTGTAAAAAAATATTTTTCACTGCAATGGAACATATTTTTATATGCCCGAAAGAATTTTGGGCATATTATGTTATACCCCCTGGCATCTGTCTGTCCGTCCGTTAGCAATTTGGTTTCCGGAGCATAACTTTAGTTCCATTTGGCCCACAATATTCAAACTTCATAGGATGATTGTCCATATTGTGTAGAAGACCCCTATTGATTTTGGGATCACAAGGTCAAAGGTGAAGGTCACTATCACCTTAACACTGAAAACAGTTTCCGGAGCATAACTTTAGTTCCGTTTGGCCCACAGTATTTAAACTTCATAGAATGGTTGTCCATATTGGGTAGAAGACCCCTATTGATTTTGAAGTCACAAGGTCAAAGGTCAAGGTCACTATCACCTTAAAACTGAAAACAGTTTCCGTAGCATAACTTCAGTTTCGTTTGGCCCACAGTATTCAAACTTCATAGGATGATTGTCCATATTGGGTAGAAGACCCCTATTGATTTTGGGGTCACAAGGTCAAAGGTCAAGGTCATTATTACTTTAAAATTGAAAACAGTTTCCAGAGCATAACTCAAGTTCCATGTGGCCCACAATATTCAAACTTAATAGGATGATTGTCCATATTGTGTAGAAGAGCCCTATTGATTTTGGGGTCACAAGGTCAAAGTCACTATTACCTTAAAACTGAAAACAGTTTCCGGAAGATAACTTAAGTTCTGTTTGGCCCACAGTGTTCAAACTTCATAGATTGATAGTCCATATTGGGTAGAACACCCCTATTGAGTTTGGGGTCACAAGGTCAAAGTTCAAGGTCGCTATAACCTCAAAACTGAAAACAGTTTCCAGAGCATAACTTAAGTTCCATTTGGCCCACAATATTCAAACTTTATAGGAGGATTGCTATTTGAAGGAGGTAATACTTTATTTAATTTATGTAATGCCTTACAAATGCTTCATCCTTACTAAAAAAAAACACTTTCGGGCATATAATGCTCCGCCTAGTGGTGCTCTTGTCCTTATTATATCACAAAGTTGTAAGGGGGGTATACTGGAATCAGCTTGTCCGGCTGTCCGTCGGTTTTTTCTTGTCCGCCCAATAACTTAAGATTCCTTTGACCTTTAGTCTTCATATTTGGCATGGAGGTTAGTCATGATTAGTAGATGACCCCTATTGATTTTGAGGTCACTAGGTCAAAGGTCAAGGTCACAGGGGCCTTGACTTCAAAAAGCTTGTCCGCCCAATAACTTAAGATTCCTTTGACCTACAGTCTTCATATTTGGCATGGAGGTTAGTCATGATAAGTAGATGACCCCTATTGATTTTGAGGTCACCAGGTCAAAGGTCAAGGTCACAGGGGCCTTGACTTCAAAAAGCTTGTCCGCCCAATAACTTAAGATTCCTTTGACCCATAGTCTTCATATTTGGCATGGATGTTGATCATGATTAGTAGATGACCCCTTTTGATTTTGAGGTCACTGGATCAAAGGTCAAGGTCATAGGGACTTTGACTTCAAAAAGTTTGTTCACCCATTAACTTAAGATTCCTTTGACCCACAGTCTTCATATTTGGTATGGATGTTGATCATGACTATAAGGTGACCCCTATTGATTTTGAAGTCACTGGGTCAAAGGTCAAGGTCACAGGGACCTTGACAAAAAAAAAAGCTTTTCTTCTCAATTGCTAAAGAATGTCCTGTCCGCAATGTATTGACATTTTCACATTTGAAGCATGTAGAATACATAACTTAGCAATGCACTGGCTTAGTAACCTCAGATTTGGCAGGGAGGTTGTCCTTGAGCTCTAAATGGCCACTGTTGATTCTGACAAAGTGGTATGCGGGGGTATTCACGCCATGATAGTGGCAGTTCTAGTTTTCACTGGTGTATTGTCGGACTACTTTCTTCTAAATTCAACCAATATACAACGTTTAAGGGAAAGTAATTCAAATTGTAATTTCAAAAATGTATATAATAAACAGAAAATGAAATTATTTATTTTCATACCACTCTATGGAAATAAATCCTGTTATTAAAGAAAAACTTCCTTTGTTTATTTTCGACATTTATATAAATGATTTTCCTGTAATTTAGTAAAATTTAGTTGTTTGTCAATGTTTTGAAGTCTCATCAGATGATATTAAAAAAGAACATATGCATTTCTTAATTTTGGAAAATTAATTAAATATACTTTTATGAGGTTGACTTTGTGAGGGGAAGTGTAAAAAAGTTGTGCAGCAATTTTAAAAGGTTGCCCTGTTATCTGTGTTACTTTTTATGGCTCTTTGAGATTATCAATTCCAATACTTAACATGTTGTTTCAGATGGCACTAGGTATTGTGCAAGACATGTCACTTTAAATCAGACAGGATTATCTACTGTTTACACAGGTGCTAGAAAAACATGTCTTACACCCACTGTGTAAGACAAGTTCTGTGCATTAAATGACGTCATTCACATGCCCATTTTAATGAGTGAAGTGAATTCTTAGGATGACGTCATTTTGCTGTTATGAATGTAGTTGTTAATTCATACGCTACTATAAGAAAAAAGTGCTGAATTCGTAATTTATTTTTGAGTTATGATTAATATGTAATATGCAGGAATAAGAATCAAACACTGGCTGTCGTCACAGATGTTAATATCTACCTCTCGGGTAACTGTTTAGTGGAAACTTGGCATAGCCTCAGTACCTCTGTAAACAATTACTCTCGAACTAGATATTCCGGTGTGTACCAGCAGCGGATAAAATAACCTTATAATCTCCAATGCACAGACTCGATAATGCTGAGTCTGCGATTTTTCCTTATTTTCCTTTGCTTGTACTTTTTATTGCCCAATTCCAGAATTATTTTGACATTTCGAAGCAACAAACAGACCTGGAAAAAAAATTGTATAGAAGTGATTTTCAGCAGACTCCTTACTGTTTTCTTGTACAAATGTATTGTATATTAACAGGTATCTAACACAGACGACTTTGAGAAATACCTTCACAGTACATTTATACCTGCAATGACTGATATCACATCAGACCATGACTATGCTACACGAGGCTCCAATCATTATCTTGTAGGGACGTATCGATTACGACAATTAAGAATCAAAACAGGTGCAAAATTTAAACTGTTAACTGTTCCAGTTCTTTGTTGGTTTGGTAACAAATAAAAATAATTACATCAAATACTTTTACAAAAGATTAATTATTGTGCCCCCACGTTAGTGGCGGGCATTTAGATTTACCCTTGTCCGTCCGTCCATCCGTCCGTCCTTCCGTCCGTCCGTCCATTCACTTTTGTGTCGCACGTAACTCAAAAATTATTTGACCTAGAGTCATGAAACTTTACAGGAATGTTGATCAGCATGTGTAGTTGTGCACCTGGGTATTTTCGTCTGGATATTTTTAGTATTTTCAGAGTTATTGCCCTTGACTTAGTAAAATTTTGCAATTTTCAACTTGTGTCGCATGTAACTCAAAAAGTATTTGACCTAGAGTCATGAAACTTTACAGGAATGTTGATCAGCATGTGTAGTTGTGCACCTGGGTATTTTCATGTGGATATTTTTAGTATTTTCAGAGTTATTGCCCTTGACTTAGTAAAATTTTGCAATTTTCAACTTGTGTCGCACGTAACTCAAAAAGTATTTGACCTAGTGTCATGAAACTTTACAGGAATGTTAATCAGCATGTGTTGTTGTGCACCTGGGTATTTTCATGTGGATATTTTTAGTATTTTCAGAGTTATTGCCCTTGACTTAGTAAAATTTTGCAATTTTCAACTTGTGTCGCACGTAACTCAAAAAGTATTTGACCTAGTGTCATGAAACTTTACAGGAATGTTAATCAGCATGTGTTGTTGTGCACCTGGGTATTTTCGTGTGGATATTTTTAGTATTTTCAGAGTTATTGCCCTTGACTTAGTAAAATTTTGCAATTTTCAACATGTGTCGCACGTAACTCAAAAAGTATTTGACATAGAGTCATGTAACTTTACAGGAATATTGATCAGCATCTGCAGTTGTGCACCAGGTATTTTCGTCTGGATTTATTTAGTATTTTTAGAGTTATTTCCCTTCACTTAGAAAATTTTTGCAATTTTCAACTTGTGTCGCAAGTTACTCAAAAAGGATTTGACATAGTCATTAAACCTTATGGGCAGGTTGCTCAGCATATTTAGATTTGCACCTGGGGTTTCGCTTGTGGATTTATCCAGTATTTGTAGAGTTATATCCCTTGACTTAGTTAAAAGATTGACAGAACAGTGGCGCGGTGGGGGCACCCGTGTCCTATGGACACATTTCTAGTTTTGGTCAATTTTAGAAGTTAGTGAAGTAAATAATTGTCTTAAACAAAAATAAACATGTTGAAATCATTCTCATTTGCAACGTGTATACAAAGTTGTGATTTTAATTTTTTTGCAGACGTCTGTGCACCAATTATGTACGGTTTGCCCCATGATTGTAAAGGGCCGTACTCCGTGACTGAAGAAGAAACAAGATATTTTGACCAGTCCTGGTCCAAACCTTTGACTGGTGTTGATGGTACTAGTGTTGATGATAAATCTGATCATTGGAAATACCGCAGCACGTGGGATCTCAAGACTTTGCCATTTCCTGGGACACATGGGACGTATTCCGGTGGAGGATATGTGCTACAACTACCAGCAAAAGTTTCCTCTCATTCAGGTATTCATTATTTGTTGTCATTGTTAAAAGATTAACATTCCTGATAAAGTTTTCAATAATTTTTTTATCATAATTTGTGAGCATAAAATGTTTAAAGAGATTTGGTTTATTCAAATTTGGCATAAATTGTAATAAAATGAAGGACACATTATCAACCTGTTCAGCGAAGCTAAAAGGCAAAGAGAGTGGAGAAAATTTATCCATATTAAAGTTTTCAATGAATGGGGTTTATCACACACCCATGCCGATTTTGTGACTCCGTAAATATGGTATTGCACGGCCGTGCATATATTTTGATGTGACATAATTAGCGTTACACAAACATAGTGTAAAGACATGCTAAATGTAAGCTTTATTCTATAGGCGGGACAATGAAAAATGACTTCTTATTTTTTTTTTCGCTTTAAGCATTCTTTATTTTTGGTATGTGATAAGCAGAATATTAAATTCGTGTAAGTTCATTACTGAATTTATTGAACTCGTTTAATAAAATAATATTATGCTGGTCAAAAGGCTCGCATAATATAATTTTATTCAACTAGTGCAATAAATTCACTATTGAACTTACACTTTCAATATCCTCTATATAACAGAGTTGTCTTTGCCTATTACTGAAATACCTGTTATTGGCTTTATATTATTGTATTATATAGTCAGATTTTGATGAAGTTCATTTATTGCTTTTTCTGTTTATTTTCAGATATTCTTTCTGGATTATTTGCAGATAAATGGATAGACCAATATACTAGAGCAATATTCATAGAATTTACTCTATATAACCCAAATGTAGATTTATTCACTGTTGTAGTTTATCTATTTGAATTCACTAATGTCGGTAGAGTATTCCCAATAAATTACGAGTTCACTTCCAGTCTATATCATTACTCGACAGATTATCAAATGGTAGTGTTGGTTTGTGAAATCTTGTTTATTTGTTTCACATGTCTATTTATTTATGTGGAAGTTAAACGGTTCAAACAGTTGGGAAAAGTAAAATATTTTTCTGACTTCTGGTCATATGTTGAAATATCTCAATTATCTTTATCAGTTTCATTATTAGGTCTTTTTATAAAAAGATTCTTTACCATTAACAATACTCTTGCTGAGTTAAAACAGGCACAAGATAATGGATATATCAATTTTCATTCGGCAATTTTCTGGGACTTTGTCTTCGGTTACGTATCTGCAGTTCTTGTCGCTCTCGTTACATTGAAAACTTTAAAGCATGTGCGCTACAACAAGCGAATTAAAATTGTGACAAAAACTCTAAGTAATATTCGCCCTGTTTATATCGGATATGTGTTTGGGTTTGCTGTCATGACGACTTCTTTTGCAAGTTTAGGATATTCTTTTTTCGGTTACAGTATGGACGGTTACAAGACGTTCTATGATTCGTGGGTATCTATAATATTAGTACTGTTGGGTGTCGGAGACTTTGTTGGATTACAAGACATGTTTAGATATGCTGGACCGATGTTTATTGTTGCCATTGTTATGATATGCCAATATATATTGATGGTGATGATGACAACAGTTTTGAACTTCGGTAGATTAGAGGCGAAGCACGAACTTTCTAAAAGGAAAAGAAAAATGGCATTAATTAAATACATGAGGAGTAGAGTAAAATTATTGCTAGATATGAAATAAATGGTTTTGAGCTGAAAAAAGTGTAAATAAGCTTTTTAAAAGTATACAAGATGTCTTAATATGTATACATTACACATCATCAATACATACATTTAACTTGTGATCTTTAAATTGATTACAGCTGTTTCTTTCAGAAATTAATTGTATTGTTAATGTACTAAACTGGTTAAATCGCATCGTCAGAACCCACGGTACACATTCTGTACACCCCAAGTGTCTGTGTGAAAGTTCAGTAATTTTATTTTCGGTATGAGTTTGTGTTGTCAAACAACTTATTTATCACACATTATCTATACCAGAATAAGTGGTATATACAAGTATTATACTGGTTTATGTCCTCAATTTTAAGATGCTTTTGATTTTTCGAATTTCCAAACCATCAAACAACTTTTCAAGCATTATAACACACACACCAACACCCTGAACTTTACAACAAAAGGACTCCTCATGGTATGTGAAAATATTTACCAATCAAATGCAGCAGCAAAAGTTAGTGTGTTTTGACACCAACGCTAATGACATTTTCACAAGACAGTTGTACCTTATTCTCATTTTTATGTTTGTTTAGATATGCATGTGTTGGTCATAATTTGTTAAATCTTTTTTTTTTTAAAAAGAGTTACATTGTGCACATATATAGAGTGAAATTAGATGCCAAGAGCTTAGATATTTGTCAAAATTCATTTCATAGCAGACTTCTACCAATATAAAAAAATGCGGGCTGGATTAAAAAAATTAGTTACCCAGTGTGATGTCAGTAATATCATTAACAAATTTTCTAGCAATGTTTCTCAGGTGAGCGATCCAGGGCCATCATTGCCTTCTTGTTTTTGTACTTGGACACAACAACCCTATGGACAAAACCTTCAAGTTGACCCGACTGAACTTGACCTTCACTCATAAATGACAACTTTCAAGGTAAAAGTTTTGATTTTTGCTTGAAAGTGAATACATCTGGCTATTTTTTGTGATTTAAGCAATGATTGTCTTCATACTTGGACAGAAGGATATTTATGACGGGACCTTTAAGAAAATTAAACCTATTTTGATGCTGCCACATAAATGACCTTGACCTTTAAGGTCATATTCATTTTTGTTAGATTTTTGCTATAAATGTCAATAACTATGTTATTAATAAATGGATTGTCTTCATACCTGGTCACAACAACCTTGAAGACAAGTCCTTCAAGGTCAACTTACTGAATTTCTTGAACAGAAATAAACTTATTTATTTACAGGTTGTATTTGGACGGCGCCATGTACAAGATTATGTTTAGACACCAATGTCAAAACCGACATGTTAAATACTTCAAATACAACCTTGACCTTAAAATGAGCTAGAACATTTAAAATCAAAATATTGAATTGTGCTTCAGTTGTGTTAACTTTGTTATTTTTAATGACTAGATTCAGCATTGTTCACTTATTGCCATGCCATCATGTTTAATGATCCAAGTTTGACTTTGACCTTAAAGTGACCTTGATTGTCATAGTCAAGTTCTTAAATTTTGCTCTAATTGCCATTACTTTGTTGTTAATGACCAGATTTGATTCATAATTTGAAAAAGCAACTATAATGAGAAAATTTACATTAAAATTTAAAATAATGACCTTGATCTGTAAATGACCTTTTCTGTAAAAGTTCAATTTTAGAATTTTGATTTAATTCTGTATACAAAGTATTTCCTTTCCACTCCTGAATGGGGCTCTTGATATATATAATTAGAATTTAAGCTCAGTTTGTATATGTCTTGAATAAATAAAAGAATATAACTTTCAACCAACCCAATGTAATTAAAGTTTTAAATGTCTAGTTTCACTTGTTCATTTGATTATTTTTTGTTTGTTTGTATATTTATATTATTATTATTATTGTGTTCAATAGTTAAAGCAAGTTTTTGTCAAATATTTGTTAAAATTATGTATAAATTTTTAAATAAAAAAACAAACAAGATCTGTTTTTATGTATTGTATATTTTAAGATAAAATTTAAATAAAGAAATAAACAAAATGCAAGGTATCTTTGTTTTCTGTGTGTTTGTTGATACACTGTATCATTATTTTCATACCTCCACAAACAAAGCTTGTCGGTCATTCTAAAACCATAACTAGAGCTTGGAATAAGTTATTGTAATAAAAACAGTTGGGCTTGTTCAATTTTTAAAACCTGGCTTCAGGGACAATAACTAGAGTTAGAAATGAGATATTCTAATCAAACTTGGTATATAGCATGCTTATATGAAGACCACGGTTGGGATTGCTTCTGGACCCCATGGGATCAAGGTTACTGTTACTAAAAATAGAAACAAAGTGCTTACCTATGGGCAGACTGGCAGTGAAAACTAACGTTTATTACAGGAATTTAAACGATGTTGGTCTCAAAACCATACATACTTCATGCAAAATATATTTTTTTATTTATATAGTCCAAATTTCATAACTGTACCCCAAAAACAAGAAACTAGGTCATAAAAAAGCCAATGTAGCTCACTATATGTATATAAAGGGTCAAAATCTAGGTCACCTGATATCAAAGATCAATTTTACAGGTAAAATTGTACATATGGTTGAAATTTTATAGCTGTACAACGAAGGAGAAGAAAAAGGTCACTTTGTCAAAACCTATGTCAGCTGTATCAAAATTAAATTTTACATCTAAAACTGTGCACATCAAAGGACAGAAAAGTCGGTGACTTCATAAAAATTTAGGTCAGCTGATATCGCAGTTCAATTCAAATTTTACAGCTCTACATCAGAGGACAAGAAAGTAGGTCACTTAGTCAAAATCTAGGCCTACTCATACAAAGTAAAATTATACGGGTCGGTCTATTTACCCCAAGACAGCCTAAGACACCCAGAGACTACCCCAAGACACCCAAAGACTATCCCAAGACACCCAAAGACTACCCCAAGACTACCCATAAACACCCCAAGACTATCCCAAGACTCCCTAAGATTACCTTAAGACACCCAAAGACTACCCCAAGACACCTTAAGACACCCCAAGACTATCCCAACACACCCAAAAACTACCCCAAGACACCTTAAGACTACCGCAAGACATCCCAAGAATCTTCTTAATGGAAATTAACTTATAAATTGGAAAAGAGTTATAAATATACGACCCTGTAGGAGATAATCTCAGGGGAGTAACTAGGTACAACCGATATCACTATTGGAATTAACTCCATGGAGTTGTGAAACAGGTTGGAATAAAAAATAAGATGTAACTCTTGTGTTTCTTCAATCATATTTTAATAATATGTTTCTTTGTATGTGTTTGTATGTGTTAAGTTTATACTCATTATTGCGGTCTAACTTTAAACGATAATAGTAAATTAATGATATTTAAATCGTGAAATATTCTAAAAAGACAAAACGCAACAATTACATTTTAAAAAGCACGCGTAATTTACAGACTGCGATCAAACGCGTATATTTTAAATCTTAAATACCCAAACGCGTCGTAGGGGAACGGGAACACTAGCTAGAAGACTATAAAAATGGTTCTTTGCTAATTTTTAATTTACATAATTCTGTAGTTGTCTGAATTCTATCCATTAGTATGTATCACGTATCATGTATCTATTTAAAAATAATTAAATTGACAGGGTCCAATGGGATACAACATATGTTACCCTTCTTATTTCAGGTTCGATGTCCGTGCGCTAAAACTTTTCGTAGGTTTCAACTTTCACAACAGAAACCTGACGTAAGAAAGGGTAGGATTTACAGAAGTCTGGAATAACGAGATAATATGTAGGGAGATCATTTCTGAGAAATATATGAAATAGTTTAAAAACATAAAATCAGAACGAAGGTTATATGTGAATTAATGGAAGAAGTATTGTACTGTCATAGATTCATGTCATTAAGTATGTTTAAAATTATTTAAATGTAAATAGATGAATTGAAGGTGTAATTTTAACAATCACTGCAAAATCTGGGTATACAAAATAAATGTTTAATGCCATCAAAACAAATTTATCTCAACGCTTAAAATTTTTCGTCAGGATTTTCAAGAGTTGTGATGTTGATGGGCCGTTCTTGAATTATGCTTTGTCCCGTTTATCTTCAAATGAAGAGTACTTCAGCAATGGCTATGGAAAATAAACAACAGAGACTTGCCGTAGAGAAATTAAACTTTGCTTTTACAAGAAAAAAGAACAATTTAGAGAAAAATCCTGAAAAATCTGCAAAAAAGTTTTAATTTTTATTCAACGTCGTTTTGTTAATTCATACCAGGCAAATTTCATTTCCATTTTTAATGGGACAGACTAGGCAATAATTGTTTTATTATATGAATAGGAAAAGAAATAAAAATAACCACAAAAAGTACAACCTTATATACATGTACAAATTTTGCCACGTCCAATCGCGGGAAAAAAGACGCACGTGTTTGTACAAAAATAATTCAAGTTTATACTCATAATTGCGGTGTAGCCTTAAAGTAATTATATTGAAATATGCCATAAAGAACAAAAAGCAACACTTAGTTTTTAACTAACACGCGTAATTAACAGTCTACGGTGTATGGTCATTGAATATGAGTCTCAATCTTTTTTTTGACTTGGAAAATCCAATTCATTCAGTGAATATGATACTACACCCAGTGAATGTGATTTTATAAAAAGTTATGTTGACCCATGAGATTGCAGCTATATTTAGATCATAAAATAAAATCATATATTGTAGGTTTAACGCAATAAAATTCATGAGTTTATCAATCAAACGCGTATCTTGAAATATTTTACGACCTCCCCACGGGGGAGAACCTGTAACACGGGGGATAGAGTGCCTATGATAACTTGTCAGGAGTTTGTCTGATAACTGTCTATGAGTTCCTGATTTTAATGACGATAATCTGATAGTAAGTCCGGTTTGTACACAAAAAACAAGATAGAAATATATATATTTATATAACATTTTTTCTCACTGTTTCCATACGTGTGTAAACAATAATGTGCCTTTAATTATCAATTAATTGAACCATACAAATTACTGAAATAAGTCACTTTATTTTCTTTGACATTAACAAGATTTCTTTGCATTATAAAATCAGTGGAGACGTAGGGTTAATTTTACACTATAATGCTGAGATTTTGGATATTATGAAGGAAAAATATAGAAATGATACTTTCTAATTTTCTCAGTAAAAAAGGCAACAAACATGATGGACTTTATGGTGAACCAATACGTACATTTTAATATCAAAATTCAGAACGCTAGAGAAAGAAATTAATTTTCAAAAAGATTATAGTTTACGCCTTAGACAATTGAAAAAAAAAACCCTGTTTCCCTATATTAAGTATATAATATGTCTTATTTAATGCTTTCCAGTGTTTTACTGTAATATAATTTTCACTGTAGCCGGAAAATACTTAAAATCACTTAAAAAGCATGAAATAAAAAGAAAATTTATTTGTTTTGCATGTAAGATTGAAATATATTTCATTCGTGAACACCAGATATTCTATTTTAACTCGTGGCTATGCCACTCGTGAAAATATTGCATCTGGTGTTCACTTAGTGAAATTATATTTCAATCTTACATGCAAAACAAACAAATATCCTCTATATATTATGTCAATTATATAGAACAACGTTCAAGAAGCTATGTTGAGTACTCGTTAAACGTGTGACGTCATCTTCTTTATTAGCGCATCAGGCAATATTTTTGTCATTCGGGCTATATGCTCTTTTATATATCCAGTCAGCACATTTTATAACAAATAATTAGGATGCAGAATATTATTGACAGCAATTTTACACGGTTTTTATCGAAGCGCGGGAAAAAGACACACATTATGGAGATAACGTCATATGTTTAATGAGTAAGCAAACGCATCGACAAATCTAATAATTACATACATGCATGCTAGCTTTAAATGTAAAACTTAAAATAGGCTTTTAAAATCACCATATAGTCTATCAATTATAATGATGCAAATTATTATTTTCAGCAATTGTTCAGAGCTCATATCCAAGAGCGGGAAAAATACTCACATTTTTAATATAAAGTCAGATGTTCAATGGCTACGCTAACGCGTCAAAAAATTATCTGACTAATAATATACATGTATGCTAGCATTGTATGTAAATCATAAGAAATGAAATTCATATTGTCTATTATGTTTTTGCTTAAACATTACCTGCTTAAGTCGTTTAAGCGCATCTGTTGGGCCGTCAGCTGTCCTTATGCAAACACTGCACGTGTATGGATGGTCACCGTCTAGGTAGCATAAATCCTTTGTAGAAATCTGTTCACATGAAATATGAACCCAATTGTCACATGCGTCACATAATACTGAGGGTTCCAC